TTCCCATCCCATCTGCCTCTTAAACCTTTCTCCAATCCATCTCCCATTTCAGGCCTCACTGTCGAACAGTACACTTCAAATCTATACATTATTCTGTACATTTTACCTAAAAAAACACCCTCTGGGACTCTAAGCCCCACTATCAGGATAAAGTTTACGCTCCTTAGCAGGACATTCAAGGCCTTCATGCATGGCCCTAACCCAGCTCTCTACCCTCACTTCGTACCACATCTGACCACCCTATTTCCCCTAACACGTGGGCTCTTTTAGCCTGAGTGCAAAAGCATTTGCTTTTATCTTCTTTGCTTTGTTCATAGCTTAGGAAAAAGCAGTCCAAGAGTCAACTTGTAAATCCATTGAGGGCATTCCCTTATAGTCCAGGAATACCTCAAAGCTGCTGAGAGACAACTGCCAAATCCAACTTGCTGCCACAAAGATGCCCTCTTATGGGGGGGGACTGTCCTGTACAGTTCACAAGAGCACTTTGACTCCTACTCTCTCACTGGTTCTCAAATACCTGAGAAATATGTAGGCCAGTGTTATTATTCTCATTCTGGAGATAAGGAAACAGCCCCAGAGAGGCAGTGTGTGCTTAGAGTCACATAGCCAGTAAATGATGGTGAGTCTGACTTCAAGAGACAATGCTCTCTCCATATAACAGTATCAGGGGACACGGGTACAATCAGGAAAAGGAGGGCCATCCCAGCTGCCTTCAGGTACAAAATCCAGGTAGCTTTTCCCTTCTCAGACCAGCTACGTTCACTTCCCCATTTGGGGTGTCATGGCTGTGGTGCAATGAGCTGTCATTAAGCTCCAACTTGTTAGCCAATGGCCCAGTTTAATAGGCGGGGCCAGTCTCCATGGTTGCTGTTTCACACAGCTTCGTGAGCAGAGTATGAGGCAATAAATCAGTGGTGGAATGAGAACCTGACTATACTCCTGGGATGGTGCCTGAGTATCTTCCCCTGTCTACTCAGATCCTGGAAGGTGACTCACCTGGGGTGCTGCAGTACCTGCAGCAAGGTGCTTGTAGGAGATACCCAGTATAGTTCTGTCCTGTCCTCATCCTCAAAGTAGACCTGCAAGATTAACAGAGCAGCAAGAGTAAGAAAGACAAATACAGGGATTCACAGTCCCAGGCATGTTGAGGCCAAGCCCAGGGAAAAGTGAAAGAGATGGCAACTGTTACTAGTTGAATGCCTCCTTTATACAGTTGTGGGGCTAGGAGCTTTGCATTCAGTCCCCGTCATGACACTGTAAGAAAGTTTATTACTGGCTCCATTTTTTAAAGACAGAACCAAGATTCAGAAAAGAGAAATGACTTGCCAACATCACCCAGCTAGTAGAGAGGAGCCAAAACTCAAGCCCAGGGCTATGGAGCCTTCCCTTCCCTAACACTTCAGACCTACAGCCATCAGG